TCCAATACCTTCTGCCCATGCTAAAGTTGCCCTTTCTACCCCCTCTGTAGCCTGGTCGCGTGGTATTTACCATGGGTACAAATCAGTTGATGAGCCAACAGTATATCGAATCCTTGGAGGTAGATCGCGTGTCCAAATGATTGCACCACGTCGATCCACTCCGATGATGTCGTAATCACTTATGCGCCGTCGGCGACCATAAGTCTCAGAACTGGATCGAGTCACATCCCATTAATCAGTACCTTGATCCCAGAAGTCAACTGTCACTTCACCACAACTGCTGCTGTAGCTGTAACACAAATTCTAGCGTTGGTGGCGTCGATACAGGAAGCCTCATCAAGTAATCCCACCACCACACCAACATGCAACTGCGCAGAGTCAGACTTCTCCCCCCATTGACATCATCGCTGAGGCGCATTCGCTGGCTGGATGCTTGTATAACTGGTACACGCTGCAGCTGTGGCGAAAAGTGACCCAAAAGAAGCAACAATTAGCCCGTGCAGACCTCAAAAAAGGCATGCATCAACATCATGATAATCGCTAGGGGTCGGGACATAGACGTACCTTCAACTCCGCAGGACCGAGGCGGTGTCGCTTATCAGCTGTAGAAGCAGGCACTATTTACGCTAGCAGAGTCCCTGGATAACAACACCAACACGACGCTCAGCAACATCGACGGGTTGGTCCAGACCAGGCGTTTGGATCCATAATCACACTAATACTTTATCCAGGTAATATGGAATGTGCTTGTTGATTGGCCCATTTGTTTTGGAGCCACGTCGATTACTCTAGTACTGTAAAATCAAGCAATATGCTTGGTTTTCCGCAAACTGCCTGATTCGTCCAAACTAATATCTACACATTATGATTCGCTTCAATTGTAAACCTTACGGTTTTAGGAGCATCATAGCAATAGCGTTAATAAACTAGCTATTGTGAATTCCGTCCAAATTTGCCGCTTTGGGTCTGTTTGAGGAGCGGGAGGACAATCGCCCACATACAAACCCAAGTCATTGGTAGAACCCAATGCCACCTTATTTCGTACTTAAATGGGTCAGTATACGGAATTGTATACGCTGGGCGATTTGGGGGAGATTCATTCAACGAACCGCCCATGACAATTTTGAGTAGAACTCACAATAACATATCGGGACTCGGATAAGAGCGACCACTTGTTCCCGGGTTCTTACTCTTGTATACGCACGAAGGCAAGCGCATGATATTGTTATTGCCGATCAGCGGGTCGATGCCGAGTAGGGTCCTAAGTATATTATGCGACGAGGCGTTGTCAGTGGACTTGTCAGCAGAGGACTCCATGACACCTCGGCTTCTTTGCGGTGCTGCTTGCTGCCGCCTTACAAGGGACTTGAGGATGACTTGGTGAGCTCGAGGCAAGTTCGAGAGTGAGCTGTCTAGTCCAGCGCGCTTCGTTCGAGTGCCTTCGCCACTCCTCTCAACCCGTGCGAGTAATATTAGGTCGTTATCTAACTGTGCTACAGCTATCCTAACGGACGAGCATCGGCATCGTCTCGGCAATGGCAGCGTCCGTTGCAGAATCAACTCGCACAGCAACGGTAACTTTCGATGCTTTCACTGCAGCTTTGCTGCAGGGTGAGATGGCGTGGCGTCTTATCCAGGCTTCACCGGCAGCCTTACTGGCAGCAAGGCACGCTGGCTTGCTCAGGCTGAGCTGGCAGCGTTACTGGCGACGGCAAACGCGGTGTCTTGTCCGGGCTTCGCTGGCCACGTTACCGGC